TTGGCGCGATTAGAATATTCTTTAAGCCCCACAAACCAGTCAGCAAATCTCAGACCTAAAATGATACTTTTGACCTTTTAAAGACATTTAGTTTCCCCTTTTTTTGATATCTTCGGCTTCGAATGCGCTCATGGACGGAGCAGAAATTCCATTTTCGCGCGAAAAGTGCTCTATAATGTGTTCAAAAATAAACCAGTCCGTGAAAACGCCGTGACGTTACATAGGCCTAGTATGGCCATGCCCGCTCTGGATTATAGGCTCCTGAGGCAACTTCCTAATTAAAACACAATTGTGGTCTAACGTATCAAATGTTTTAGACATAATTAGTATTGTCATATACAATAAAACCTCTATTAAGCGGACCCCCAATTAAGTGGACACCCTCTATTAAGCGGACACTAAGCCGGGTTCCAAAATTAACGTCTAATATTTCCCTTTATAACGAACCCCTATTCAGCGGACACCTCTATTAAGCAGACGAGGACACTAAAATAAATTGCATTTGGCGGATTTCTATTGTAAAAACCTGTATTAAGCGGATACCGGACTGAATTGACAATAGTATTTGATTACTTCATTGAAATACGTACTGTAGTCAATTAATAAAGATAAATCAGTACATTTAGCTGTCAATAAACTGCATGTAGATTAGACCGATCCGGCCGTATAATTGTTATCCGCGATCAAAGTTCACCTAAAAGTCTTTCGCAAAATGCAGTACAATTTCCTAATAGCTTCCTTAACAACATGGAACTTTATCACAGTACAGAGCAACCGTTGAATGTTAATCGTTAACAAACATTGGGCAATTTTTACAAACCTGTATTGAGCGGACTCTTGGCAAGGTCCCGAAGGTGTCCGCTTAATTGAGGTTTTACTGTAGCTGGAAATTTCTTCCCAATGGCGCGCGCTCTCTTTGGTTACTTCCAGGTCGCATGACAACTAACCATGAAAGTGTTTCCCGCCAAAATCTCTGAGCGGGCAACATTGCAAAATCTACGAAGTCAGAGGGTAACAGTGCACCCGCGAATGTACGTTGACAACCCACTTTACAGCGAGGTTTAATAAATTTACAGCTTCAAAATTTCAAGCTATAAAATAAATCACTCAAGGAAACAAAATTAACTGTTTACCTCGGGACCAGTTATTAAGTGTCTAATACTAACAGTGATACAGTTTGCCAATTGCTTTCAAAAATTGATCAGTGACATATATAAGAGCAGTTTCTGTTGAGTGGCGTTTCTTATGGCCACTTTGATGAACTGACATTTTGATAAATCTTGATGAAAAGTCATGCAAGTCTCTCAATTATCTTTGACAAGGTAGGTAACATTGAAATTGGTCTATTATAGCTGGTGCCTACAAGCTGAAGAGGTCTATTTCCATGCTTCAGGGAGTTAAGGTACTTCTTAGGAGGAATCGTTCTTAACTAAAACAAGCCTTGCGATGACTGGAGAAAGGAAAGGAATTTTATTTTATGCAATTTAAGGGGTCTTCCTTAAAATTTGTAACAATAATTAAGTAAGTGAGGCATTAGAAAATTGATCAAACTAGACCAACACTCCCTCAAAGAAGGAGCTTTACGTACACTGATGTTTACATCTTCCATGCATTTCTCATCATGAGTTCAAAGTATGCGTCGTTATCAATGTTTGCCCCAATCGCAGCATAGTAATCCAAGAATTCTCTCTCTGTGACCTAAAAATTAATACAGAAGAACAATATAACTAGAGGTTAAAAATAATGTATTTACATTCGGCGGAGCTCACCTGCGAGAAAAGCTCTCCAGGCTCTCTGGCGGCGGGGCGGGAAAACATTGTCCCCGAATTTTTCCCGCTCCCCGGCAGAACGCCCCGGAGAGCTTGATCGCAGGCTAGGCGAAGCTAAACGTCAGGGTCCTAAAGGGGTATAGGGCTCCCAGGCTCCGCCCACTCCCCCCCCTCCCCCCCCTTTGGGACCCTAAAACGTAGTGGCAGTGATAGGGAATGTAAATACTTTGCCGTTGGTATGAACGCACGTGAGCCGTAGACAGTCATGTGTAACTTATTTATCTCAGGTCTCAAACTTTCAATTTTTATATTATTTTTACATCCTACTTTACATATCCATCTATTGACCTTTTTATCTTTAACCCCCAGAGGTTGTGTGACTGCATTGGTCATGCAGTGGAGAATACGTTCCCAGTTTTTCCCATTGGGTTTTTATTGCGTTTTCGTTTCAGGCTGTGCACGTGACTAGTTTAACCTGAGTGACTTTATGTAGGAGTGTTTGTATATCATTCTTTAGTTAAGATGTTTAACTTTGCAAGCTATTCGGACGGCAATAAACACTCAGGCACACAGTTCGAGCTGCACACCCGTTGCTGTCTCTTAGTCGTGAATATAAATAGGAATTGTAAATGTAATGCACGTTTCGCTTATGATTTCAGCCCCTTTTATTAGGTAAATTAATAGTTGTGAGATAAAGGACTAATTGAAACTGTTTGTACACATCACAACGTGCGAAACTTACGGCAACTAGAATGATGCAATGAGATTGTTACGGCTTAGTGCGTGCGAAAAGAGGAGCCCGCAATCCTAATCTCCAGGTTTTCATTACGCATGCGTCGCATGTATCTAGCCAGTATTCGTTTAGCCTTCGCACTACGAGAAAACGCAATTTGATCACGCGCATTTCGACCTTCTACCCCTCGTAATCTGATCACGCGTGTTTTATTCTGACCATCGGACACGAGAAACTTACGCAAAGCACAGTGTTGGAGCAAAAGCGTTTGGACCTCCGATCGTTGTCGCCCGCTCTCCGAAACCTTTAGTTATTACTAGTTTTTCATTTATTATTTAATCACTTCCACCACATGGTGCGGGACACACAACAGATAGCAGGGCTCCAATTTTTTTAAAATTAGGTGTGTCCTTACATATATCCCGCCCAGCCCAGGATGCCGCACCACCGGGGTATACGTCCCCTATAATCTTTTCCAAAAGTGGTTGAGGTTCTTTACGTCCCTCATGCGCATGAACCAAATAAGTTTAGGTGCCGCGAGACGGAACCTACGGTTTTTCGTCCTTATCCATTGGACTAGAAAGTCTAATGGTTTGCAGATGTCATTATTGCAAAAGCAGCACTTTGGCCTGAGTTATTATTTTAAGACCCTGAGTGCTGGTCCGGCCAGGGTTTGAATCTCTGCGACCTCCTGTTCAGTAGATTGAGCTAACCAGTTGAAATTCAGTTCGACAGTTATGATGAAACCGCTGGACAAATCAGTAAACTTGCTAAAAATCATCCTAATTTAAATCATAGAGTGCTTAATTTGGATAATGAATTTAGTTTCGAGGCTCTAACTCAGTGTCTAGAAAGTCAGTAGAGTTCAAATCCTGTCAGGAAATGTCACCTTTCCTATTCATTTTTATGACTATCAATAAACACAACTAACCTTTCCGTCTCGGCTTGACGGGTCTGGCTCAAAGCTCTCTAAAAATTCTTTAAACACCTGCTCTTCCGACCATTCCCCATTTTTGTACTTTGGGTGCTCTGTGACCTTGTAGGCTCTGCAAGAAATGGTGAAACAAAAATTCTGCGACTTTTGTGAGGCAATATCTTAACTTGTTTGACTTTTAATCTTGGTAAGTTTCCTAATTTTAAGGCACTTTTTTCACTAGTGTCGATGGATATTCTCTTCCTGCTCATTTACTAAAACTTGAAAAAAAACCGTGGAAGGGGGAGTCTATTTATGAATTCATATTTAAACCCGGGACCAGACTCCCCATTGGAGGAAAAATAGGCGAGCGAAGCGAACCGAGAGGTAATCTGGGGAGGAGAAAGGGTGGCCACCTCTGGGCGGCCGCTGGGCGCGGCTCGCTCGCCCATATTTTTCGTATTTTGAACCCGTTTTTTACCCTTTCTCCCACTGCGCATGCGAAGCCTGGTACCAGGCTAAAATCAGCGGCACCGAACGGCGGTTTCCTCCCAGATGCGTTAACAACACTTTTTTACACTATCCAAAGTACTTTAAGACCTTTACAAATGAATTCTAAGCGGCGCTATAAAATCTCCATCTGTTGGGTCATCCTAGGAAAACTTAATACGGTTTTTTAAAATTGCAAGGGCTTCAGCATTATTTTCGCGAAAATTTTAGATACAATTTAGCGCGTTGCGAAAAAGAAAATCGTTTTGATTCCTCTCTCCGTCATATTTTGAATCCGAGAATTTTAGGTTTCTTTTTTCCACGAAAAATAGCCTAGCCCGGGGAGTGAAATGTGAAAAAAAAATAAACTTCAGAAAATCGTAGGGAATTTATGAGCAGATAAGCTTCGAAAATTGTACACGAATTGGACGGTCATCTAGAAATGTTAAGCTGTCCCCAGGTAAAAGAAAATTCTAGGCAATTTTTGTTTTTCGAACAGATATTTTACTGAAAAAAGTCGTCGGGCGACCTCTGTTAAAGTAAAGCTACTTTGGGATATGACTATCGAATGTGATATATAGTATGTGCCAGGCCCTCGGTGAGTCACACGATTTGAAAAAAGCCAGAGAAGCGAAAAAAGCGCCCAAGCAGCGAAAAAGCGAGCGAGCAAAAAACGGCGGCAGTCTTCACGTGGTTTTTCGCATCTTTGGTTTTTTTTTTTTTACAGTAATCGAGACGTTTTCCCCACTATCTTGGAGCCTGGAAGAGGCTACATGCGAAAACGTTCATTAACATTATCATCATTACCATCTCAGTCAGTTCGTCAAAAGTTTCAATTTTTTCTGGAGTTGAATTCTAAAAGACTGTATCGAAGTGTAGGAAACGAAGTACAGTCGACTCCCGGTAACTCAAACCCTCTATAACTCGAACCTCTCGCTAACTCGAAGCAATTTTCATTTGCCTTCAGACCATTTTCTATATAATTTTACCCTCGACAACTCGAACTCCCGATAACTCGAACTTTTTTCTATTTCCCTTGAAGGTTCAAATTATCGGGAGTCGACTGAACAAAGTCGTTGTCTTGTCTTCACGTCCTCCACAAAACGTGAAATTAAGCGTTTTCACGTCGTAGTCGTGCAGCGACGGCAAAGAAGTGTACAAAAAAGTATGATGTAGGTGCAAAGTTGTTGTTTTGTCAATCTAAACCTTTTGAATTTTTGACGTCCTCTTTGACGTCAGCGTCGTCTTTGCGTAAGCTCCCTAAAGACTATCCTTCGGTGCTTTCATTCCTCTAAACAGCTTCCCAAGATCACAGCTATTGCCATCTACGAATTTCGTTTAAAACGTTTTCCTTGCTTTATGTATAATAAGGGATACACGTTAAGAAATTGGAAAAAGTTGAAAAATATCAGGATTTGAAGAAGAGAAATGAGAAGAATTTGGGGTGTCAAAAGCACATATCGAATCAACAGGCTTATTTATGATACTCTGAAACCAACTCACCTTTTTAAATCTTCAAAGGTTACCACACCATCTCCTGTCTTGTCGGCTATTTTAAATGCCTCTTTCACTACTGCCAACCTACGACCTGCTAAGTTTCCCTGAAATAGAATAAAGCTAAAGCTTATGATGTCAGGTCAACACCCGAAAATAATTTGAAGGCCTGTGGTTTTTGAAAGCTTGTTAGCTTAACCTTAATTTTGTTCTTTGTAACATTTTATATAATGCGTAGAAGACATACTAAAATGTATTTGTTTGACAAAACGCTGTGATTTTGTTATTTACAGGTAATTCCGTAAGTCCCATAGTGAACAAGGACACATAATTGGCATTATGAGCAAAATGAACTGGTAAGCCATGACACATGGGCCCCTTTGAGTTAGAACTGCATGACCGGTCAAGCCCGTGAATATCTTACATCCCAATTTATTACCCGTGAGCTAGTCATTTTTTTTAGTAAACGAACAACTCAGAGTAGCGGAAAGCTAAACAGAACAGCCTCCGAACAATGAACTTTTTATTACAGACTATTAAGCTTTGGAACAATTTGGAACCTTCTCTTGAATTAAGCCAATCTATTCAGATTTTTAAACGCCTCTTCAGGAACCAGCTTTTAGGTAACTTTAACAAATTTTTTTGTTGTAATCTTAGTTAAGTTTAAAAAGTATATTAATTGGTAGCTAGTTTAAAGCATTGTTATTAGAACTAAGTTGAGTGTTGTAATTAGTTAAATGCAATACGTTTAAATAATGATTGTTCCTGAAAAGCCCCTTTGGGGAGGAAAAAAAAAGTATGACTATATATGTATAGAGTTTTTTCACTCACGCGGCCAGCATTTATGCAAATTTATTGGAACAAAAGGAGGCGTGTGCATAAGAAAAGAGTTTAACTCCCAAAGGACTGGTTTGGGACACCAACATGGCTGCCGTTTCATTGTTTTGGGACACCAATATGGCCACCGTGACGTCATATGAAAACACTCTTTAGAGGCCTCCCTTAAAAGAAGCTGAGAAGCCTCTATTACGGCACTCGGTAATGAGAGCGATGGCCAATAAGAGCTTCAAAGAAAGGAGCAGATTAACAGGTTGAAACGAAAATTGCGAACAATGCAATTTTTGTTCTGCATTAAGTCATCGAAGGTACCTTACGTTACTATATGTTAGACCGATTCGAGATTTTTTTCTGCCCACTGCTCTATTAAGCTGCCGCCCTGCTCGTTGGCAATAATCGTTGGCAATAATAATAATAATAATAATAATAATAATAATAATAATATAATAATATAATAATAATAATATTATTATTATTATTATTAATTAATATTAATTATTATTATTATTATTATTATGAAGGCAAGGAGTGATGGTGATGAATACAAATCTAAAACATGTTACATACTCGTAAAGCAACAAGAAACTCATCAAGGCTGATTTGACCAGATCCATCTTTGTCAAAATAAGAAAACAGCTCTGTAACCTCCTGCATTAAAAAAATAGATCGTATTGATATTTCATTTGCTAGTAATTTCTACTTTCAAAAAAATGTTGTCAATCAGAGTGATAATTTTTAGCTTAGAATTCAAGCTTAAATAAACAACACAAACAAATTGACCAGCGCTCGGTTAGCATTGTTTTTCTTCTTTGTCTTATGCTTTTTACCAACATCTCCCTCTCAGTATTCAAATTCCACAAAATGAAATCTTATAGTTATCGATTTTACTTGTGTTTTCTCATTTCCTGTGAAATTTGAGATTTATTTTGTCGGGCTTAAGTAAGAAATCTTCTTTGGTGTTATTACTGCCAGATAACTAATTACATCTATAGCCCTTAGAAAGTGTAATAAGGAATGTGATATGGCTTAAAGTATTCTGATGAAGGGTTTTTGTCCACTGAAAGTTAAAATTATTCAGTTTCCTGATCGATTCCGTCATAATAATTTGCGAAAGAACATTTTTTACTCGGATTTTTTTTACTGTATCTGCTGAATTATTTTTGCATCAAAAGGCAATAAAAGTGTAATGAAACTGCAGTCCATACCTCATCTGACAGATCAAGTCCATAATCCTTAAGACCCTCTTTAAACTCTTCATAGTTCATGTTCTTTGAGCCATCGTCATCATAGATACGAAAAGTTCTGCGACAACGAAACTAAAATGAACACAACTGCACCACCCCACCCCCACTCGAAGCTGCAACTGTCTTGGTTGCCATGGCATTCCTTCTGGCCCCGGTTGTTCAAACGTTGGATAGTGCTATCCAACGGATTAAAATCTATCCATCAAATAACGCAATTGGTTTCCCTGGATAGTGATTTATCCGCTGGATAGTGATTTATCCGGTGGATAGCGTTATCCGACGTTTGAACAAACGGGGCCAGAAGTCCCCTATTTAATGACCTTATGGTCAATCTAAAGTGAAGATGAAGTAAGGTAACATTTGTAAGGAATAATATTTACGCTCTGTTTTCTTTATAACTTACCTCTTTCATCCTGGTCGTGGAGGTTTGAAACCTGCCTTTAAGTTGTTGTGTGCAACTCAAATTAGATTGCGATGGCTACTTGTTGGTCACCCAGCATATTACAGTCAGGGCCCGATTGTTCAAAAGATGGATAACACTATCCAGTGATAAGTATTAAAAAAACCAATTGCGCTATCTAGTGGATAGTGATACAATTTCCCTTATAATTGACCCCACTTTTTAGTCATTTTTATTCAGTAAACTGGAACTCAGATACCGTGTGGCCAAATTTTTTGGGTTCCAATTTTTGCGATTTTTCAGTGGTCCGCAAAAATAGGTTCTCGCCAAAATATATACTGCAAACATTTTTCCGGGATAAAATTTTACGTCACAGTAAATATTATCTAGCTTAAATTTGATAATGAGATCACCTCCTATCGACCTTTAGTAATCACCGCATGCGCAGATGTTATTGCAATCATCGAATGACAAAGAAAAGTAATCTGTTTTACTGGTTTGACATAGGACAGACACACCGTAGTATTGTTTGAAAATATGTATTTCCATTGTACATACTCAATAAAAACAAAAAAATAAATTAAAATGCTTCATTGTACTTTTTTTCCACCAGAAATCTTCGTCGGAGGAAGTTAATCCCTCTCCCGATCGCAAAATTAGGTGTAAAATTTCTAATATTTGATAACTTGTTTTCGCCACTACAACATTCTTGTTAAAAGTCGTAGTAGAATACCTTGACACTATAAAGGCCACTTAAGAGAATGAGAGAAAAAAAGCACTTTATTGGAGTTTCAATGTATTTAGAAGTCGAGAGTGCTCATTGGGGACATTATTTTTACGTCTCCTACTGGAGACGGAACCTTCATTTTACGTGGTCATCCCAGCCACGCAGAGGTCCAGCCGCTTGCAGTGCGAAGGGACGACCTTCATTTCTCAGTTATTCATTGAAGACCGTAAGTCGGGAACGGTCCCGGGAATTGAATTCGCGACCTCCCGCTCTGCAGTGAAACGCTCTACCGACTGAGCTAATCCTGAGCGGTCTAATCATCCCTGAAAGTAGATCTTTACCTTGCTATTCCTTTAATGCTTCTGGCTCCCCTTTGTAGGATTTTATTCTTTACTTTTTGAAGTGAAGCTGGAGCGTCTGCCATTTTTCTCAACCAAGTTAACAAAGATCTATAAATATATATAGGAAAAAAAAAACAGTATTGAGAAAGGTGTAAAAAATTTAAATTATAATTTTTTGCCATGTATTTAGCTGAAGCAATAACATAATAACAGGCTTCACCAAGCTACCTTTTACTCAGCTTATCAATAAACTTATCTATAGACATAAACTCAGTATGTAATAAGTTACTATTTGTTATTTTATTTTTGTTATTTAATTTCTCTTCTTGCTGTTAAAAATATGAAACATGCAAAAGATATGTAGTTTTTATCTTATGAGAAATAAAGGCATTATTGTGAAAGGTTTGAACCCAGGAGTCATTTCAAAAGTAGGTTGAGTTTGATCGACCGGGTGAACGTAGTCCTGAATAGGACTGTTGTTGTTGACAGTGACTGACGTTTCGACAACCTGTGCGGTAGTCATCTTTAGAGTCAGAGTCTGACTCTGAAGATGACTACCGCACAGGTTGTCGAAACGTCAGTCACTGTCAACAACAACAGTCCTATTCAGGACTACGTTCACTCGGTCGATCAAACTCAACCTACTTTTGAAAGGCATTATTATTACTATTATTAGAAAAATATAATATCTACAGTATTGAATTAAAACCGCGAGAAATAGTGACTTCTTTCTGCTTTACATGAAAAATAACACATAAATGAGCACTTAAGATTTTAGCCACAAGATTTACTTTCATTGTTGAAAGAAGTAAAAAAAAACTTGTATTTTCACCCAAAAGTTGCTTAACCACCTGCTACTTACGACGTCATATCTCGCAACCACAGCAACTGACCATCTAAAACTTGTATTTTCACCCAAAAGTTGCTTAACCACCTGCTACTTATGACGTCATATCTCGCAACCACAGCAACTGACCATCACTGAACTTGTCTCAAAATGTGTGCGAGGGATGAAAGAACAGGTACTGAAAACGTCACGTGCTGATGTTTTATGCTTGAGGAAAAAAGCTCAAAAAAATCTGGGGGGGATCCACCCCCTCCCCTCCCCTTTGTACTTACGGGGGTTAACGGGCCCGTAAAGTTTTTTTGGTTTAAATGCAATATAGAGGATTTAATAGTTTCGCATCTAACATGATAAAACTATCGGTCAATGAAACAAAATGGAGTAGTTTCCTAGCCAGGAGACGTGCTCTTATTCTTTATATTTCGATTTGAATATTTGCTTTCGGGCCCGAAATTTACCGGGACTTTCGAAAAAAGGGCCCCAGGGCTCTAAATTCTCCCGTACAGTCATCCGGGACAGGTAGACTTTCTTGCTGGGCAAGTACCTTTTAAAATTCACTAGCTAAGGGCCATTATAGCTCTTGACTAGCCTAATGGGTAAGGGACTAAGTAAGTCACCTTCTCTAACCAAATCATTAACTAAAACGTGCAACTGAGTAGCCCCGTGCAAGCAACATGTGAGAGCCGCTTGCCCGAATAAAGGAAAAGCTGGATTCAAGAATTTTCTAACCCTGGGGCCCGTTTCGCAAAAAGGCCAGGAAACTTTTCCATCAAAGGTTTCAGAAAAGGGTCATCAATGGATTAATTATTTTAGTTGCATTATGAGTCCATTGAAAAGACAACACAATGCAAATATTGTTTTATTCCTCAACAATTTCTTAAGGTTTTTGATTAATTGTAATTGATTTTTATTTATGATTGCACATACCTGTTTAAACGAGTTTCAACGAGCTCCTTAGTTTTACATATTGGGCAAATAACTATAGATATTGATGTTATTTATAGGAAACCAAAAAGACACCAATATACAGCTATTTCAAGAAAGGTTGTCGGAGAAAGTGCACGCGACAATCCCGATAGGTATTGTGGGTGGTGTTGAGCTCACTGTTCTTCAGAGAAATTTGAAAGAATGGCACGAGGGGCCATGGACATATGTTTGCGAGTGCTAAAGAAAAGCAGCAAAAGTAGATTCGACAGCTACAGTGTCAGGAACAGTGTATTGATCATATCCCATTATACCTTTCGGGATTGTCGCGTGCCCGTTTTTTCCGACAACCTTTCTCAAAATAGCTGTATGCGGTAACGCCCGCGATAGCATTACTTGAAAAGTGATTTAGCATTCTCTCAAACTTCTACGCAATGATCTCAGCTCGATCACTTTCTCTAGTGTTAGTGAAATCTCCTGAATTTGGATTTTTAAGAAAATATCCAGGTTTTTAAGAGAAAGAGTAATATGTCGTCGTATGGTTACGTTGTCAATAAAACGTTAACATTAGACAATTTCATATTGTAAGTCGTGCAGTGCGGTAAAGAAATGTACAAAAATTGCGTGATGAAAGTGCAAAGTTGTCATTTTGATTACTTAAACAGATTGTTCTTTTGACATTCTCGTTTCCGTCGCCATGGTGACATCTTAGCCTCCCGATTATTGGACACATGGTCCCAAGGGTTTTCACTGAAAGGAAGCTTCACTAGATTTACATATCCTGCTGGGATGTGTGTTAGGAAGTTTACACAATGACGACGGCGACGGCAATGGCAATAAGAACGTCAAAAATGCATTAGGTTTAGATTGCAAAATAGCCTGTGAACAGGCTCTCTGTTTGGGGAAAGGGTGAACGGGTGCAATAACTACCAACAATTTTTGGGGTAAGATTTCCGTATAACCCCATATATTTATTACGCATACATGTTCGAGTCTGCTCATATAAAACTATTTGTGAGAAAAAGTATGAAATTACTGCATGCATGATAAACGTATGGGGTTATACGAAAACTTACCTGAGAAGGATACAACCCGCCATAAGACTTTGGAGACTATGTGTAATGTGCGTGCGTGGCCCCAACAATGTTGGAAGAGCTGTGAAAATATATCCAACACTGTTACGTTTCGCTTCGGCTATCACGGAACATAAGAAATTTTGGGAGTTGTTGGCTTAAAAGTATCACCGGTTTCAAACTTTGCGCGACAACTCCCACCAACCAAGCAACAACGTAAAACATGCAATAGGATGTGCAAACGGACGCACTCCATGTAACATGTATCAATGTTGCGTCCGTTTGCACGCGGATTAACTGGAAATGAAGGTCACGATTCCCAAGGACTCCCCTCGAAGACTGAAAACTTGAAAATTTCTATTATTTAATAGATTGTTTCCTCAATTTTATCCCAGATTCGATCAATTTTCTTTAGTAAGAATTAATTTAACTCGACGCCAAGTGCTATCCACTTTCCAAGCAAAAGCTTGGTCTGAGAACTTTTTGAGGTTTTACATCGTGTGCCATCTTCACATAAATGATCTTAAATGTTATTGAGCACTGATTTTTCCAAATAGAGTCGGAAAAGACTACTCTAAAAAACCTTTTTGTGAACAAGTTCTTCTTACCTGTAGAATTTGGTGTAGTGTGGCCTGATGTCTTCGTACTGCGCGTATACAACTGCAATGTGCAAATTAGCAAAAAGGCCTGAGTAATGTTCTTTGTGTGTTAT